TCTTTCCCCTGGACCTTGGCTCCACGTTGAGCACTTGAGGATGGACCGACCTGCTGGAAACCTAGCTTTACTACTTGATCACTAGCCGCGGGCCACCCCATTCTGTTTTTCGATCTGTAAAATGGGAATAAGGAGCCCTGCCTCACAGAATCTTTGTGAAGATTGGAAGCAAACTGGTGTCCTATGAAGAAGCACCTGGCACCCAGTGGGCCCTGCCACTCCTTCTCCTTGTCCTTCTCACCCTGGCTTTCTCCCGGCTCTCTCCTCATCACCCCCGCCGCGTGCCGGGCAGAGGGCCTGGAGCTCCCCGGCCGCTGGGTCCCGGCTCACAGCCTGCCTTCCGGCCTGCCAGGCTCCCTCGGCACGTGCCCCGCGCCCCCTGGCGCCGCGCCACCTCCTGGGCTGCCTCGGCGCGCGCCCTCTGGCCTCTAGCCCGGCTCGGGCCGCCGGTCGCCTCCCGGAAGGGTATCCAGCTGGGGCTGGGGGGTGGGGTCGGCGGGGGTGGGGGTGGGGGCGGTGCTTGCCTAGGCACTTTGCACGTTTGGAGCATCTCTGGAGCATCTCTGCCCTGGAAGGCCGTGAGCTGACTTGTCATGGTGCGCTGGTGAACTGCTGTACTCTGAGCTACTGGCCCGCAAGGGAGGCGGGAGGGAGGGAGTGAGGCCCTAAGTCACTATTTGCAGAGAGGAAACTCCAGGGGCGAAATCTGACCTTGCTGGACTGCCTGGTGTGAAGCCTGGCACCACCACTTCTTGTTAGCTGTTGACCTTGGTCAAGTTAGTGCACTTCTGTGAACTTCAGTGTCCCCTCTGTGAAACAGCGAGGAGAAAAGCAACCTTCTTGAGGCTACTCACGCAGCAAATAATTGAGAGCCTACCCTGTGTCCTGCAGTGGTGTAAGGTGTGAGAGTTAAAGGGCACATAGGGAGGACTCAGTAAATTCCAGCTGCTATTCCTCTGAGGCTGCTTATATAAATGATTGATGAATGAGTGAATTCCACCAGGGACCTTGGTTGATTGCAAGCAAAGCTGAGCTACATCTTAGGGAGGGACTTTGCCCCTACTTGCCTTAAAGTGCCAGCGGGGCCTTCCCCTGCTTGGGCTCTCTCCCTACCCACCCCGCAGCAAGCACCGGTGAGGGCCCCCGCCTGGCCCCCTCCAAGGGGTCACGGTCATTCGGTCACTGCTCTGTGTATATATCCAAGGCTTGGCAGGAAAACAGAGGGGAGGTCCCGGTGACCGACGTCTGCTTCTGGGTTCACCACCGCTGGTTTTCCGCATTCCCTGGACTCTGACCTCCCTGGGCTCCACCGCCCCTTCCGGCCCTGGCCGCAGCCCCGCCCCAGTCCCAACGACACAGGCGTTTCCCCCCCCCGGCCCGGCCGGCCTCTTCCTCGATTCCCTCCTGACATCCTCCTTGTCGGCCAGGCCTGCAGCCCCAGTGTCGCCGCCGCCATGGCCTCGCAGCAGCTCTTCCGCGCGCTCGTGTCGGCGCAGTGGGTGGCCGAAGCGCTCCGGGCCCCGCGGGCCGGGCAGCCCCTGCAGCTGCTCGACGCCTCCTGGTACCTGCCCAAGCTGGGCCGCGATGCACACCGCGAGTTCGAGGAGCGTCACATCCCGGGCTCCGCCTTCTTTGACATCGACCAGTGCAGCGACCGCACGTCGCCCTACGACCACATGCTGCCCAGGGCTGCGCACTTTGCCGAGTACGCGGGCCGTCTGGGCGTGAGCGGCTCTACCCACGTCGTGGTCTACGACGCCAGCGATCAGGGCCTCTACTCGGCGCCGCGTGTCTGGTGGATGTTCCGCGCCTTCGGCCACCGCACCGTGTCGGTACTCGATGGCGGCCTCCGCAACTGGTTGCGCCAGGGCCTCCCGCTGAGTGCGGGCAAGAGCCGCCCGGAGCCCGCAGAGTTCCACGCGGTGCTGGACCCCGCCTACGTCAAGACGTACGAGGACATCAAGGAGAACCTCGAATCCCGGCGCTTCCAGGTGGTGGACGCCCGCGCCGCTGGCCGCTTCCGGGGCACCGAGCCCGAGCCCCGAGAAGGTAACCCCGATGTGCGAGGGGCCCGGGAGTTCCCTGAGCACTGCCCTCGCCTCGCCCTTGCCTTTAGAGGCCACCGCGTGGGGTGGGGGCCGAGAATTGGTTTCTAGTCGCCTTACTGGCATTATTCTAAAGTAGGGGTAATAATACTTGTCCCACCTCCACCCCAAACTAGTTGGGAACCCAGGGGGCCCAGTATAAGTGTGAGAACCCAAACAGCCCCACCCCAGTACTATGGGTGTAGGGGTCACTGCCAAATAGGAGGGGTGGGCAGGCCCAGTTGGGGAAGAGCCCCAAAGAGAGGGGGCTTGATCAGGTGTAGGACCATCTCTGAGGAGGATGAAGCCAGGAAGGAGTCTGGCCGCGGGTCGGCCCGGAACCCGCGCTGCCCCGCGCGGCCGCTCCGCGCCTCGCGAGGTGGCCCAGCGCGCCGGCGCCCCCGGCCTCGCCCTGCTCGCCTCCCCCTCCCTCCCCGCCTTCGCGCTCCCGACAAAGTTCATTCCCACTAACTCTTTTCCAGGCCACTTCCTCCTCACATCTGACAATCCAGGGCCCCTCGTTCTCCCAGTAATCACTCCACTGCACTAATTGCACATGCAAATATGCAAATGCGTATTAATTAATTACTATACTAATTAGTTCTGTGGTATTTGCGAGTAATAAATCATTGGATGGGAGCGAGGAAGCTGGAGACCTGGCCCATTTTCATTCTGCATAAAATTTTAATGGTCTCTCTGGCTGATCCGGGACGGCGGCGCGCGGAGACGCTCTTAAAGGGCCAGTGGCGGCGGGAAGGGGCAGGGGCGCGGAGCGCGGGGCGGCCCCGGCCCTGGGCGGGCTTGGAGGTGCAGCCCCACGTCCTGCAGAGGCGACCTCCAGCACGGGGTTGGCTCTTCCCCTGCCCTCCCGGGGCTAAGGGTCCTCCGGGGTGGCTTCTAAGGAGAGAATCCGGGCCGGGAGGAGGAGGCTGAGCTCGGTTTCTTTAAGAAAGGAAAGAGGGCAAGGAGCTGCGAGAGGCCAATGCCAAGGCCTTTGGGGCCCCAGGGAGACAGAAATGAAGACTCCATCTCCAGGATGGCTGAGTAAACTGAGGCACCAGACAAGACAAACTTAGCTCTCACCCCAGCCTGTCCCCAGGGGAAGGAAGCCTCCAAGATGTCCTGGGTGCCCCAGTCTCGTCTCTGGTGGGGGCCACCACGGCTGGGGGTACCTCCAAGCTTTCCCTTTCCACATGATCAAACTGCAGCACCGCCTCCATGGGCACCAGCTGGCACCCTGGCAGAGAAGTCGTAGGCTTGAGTGGGCCCCCGGGACCTGGTTTTTTTCTTCTAGGAGGTAGTCAGGACCTAGGCATAGGGAGGGGCTGGAGTTTGCAGGAGCATTGCCTCAGGGAGGTAGAGGGTTGTGCCTCCTGACTGAGCCCAAGCCAGGGTCTAGGGGGATGTCAGAGGTGGGAACACTGAGGAAGTGGAGCCTGCGGGTCTGTCTTGAGCCAGGAACCCCAATACTAGGGTCTCCAGTCTGGTTCTGCTCACCCTGCAACCTTCTGCCATCAACAAGCCCCTAGTGGGGCAAGGCCTAAAGGGGGTCAGTGCTCTAGTGGGCCCATAATAGTAACAGCAACTTACAATACTCTTAATTTGGGGGAACATTTATTTAGCCAGAGACCTGTTCCGAGAATTCTAGATGGCTCACAACCCCCCAGTGACGTAGGTCCTATCACAGGCCCTTTTATGGATGGAGAAACACGGGTACTAGACAGTTAAGCAACCTGCCCAAGGTCACTCAGCTGCGAGGAGTGGAGTGGGATTTGGACCAAGACAGTCCAGTTCTGGCATCCGGGTTCTTTCCACCACACTCTGCCACCTCTCTCTCCACCACTATGTCCTCAGCACCTGCTGAGAGCCAGGCCCTATGCTAAGGATAAGAACTTCATGGGCAGTGTCTCATTCAACCCTCATGACAACCCAGGAGGTAGGTTCTGGGATTCTCCCCTTTCTAGAGCTGGGGAACCCAAGGCTCAGAGAGGTTGACTAAGTTGCTCTGGGCACACAGGGAGGATGTAGCAGAGTCAGGCTCACTCCCGGCCTGCGGCCTGCATGACAGTAGAGGCCAGCAGGTCTCTGGGTATGGGGCAGGAAAGGGTCATGACAGCTAATAAAACAAGAGAAGAAATGGAAGGGAATTCAGTTAGACAGAATGTGGGGAGAACTTCCTTCTTGAGAGGTGGGGCTCCCAGGAGCTGGAGTCAGGTGGAAGCTTTTCCTTCTTTTCCAAGTAGCAGGCTGGGGAAAGGCCATGGCTACCTGAGTCAGGAGGAGGTTGGGGGTTTGAGGAATGGGAGGGAACAGAAGGGCTCAGAATGAGAGAACCCAGTCAGAACCATATAACTCAGAAATCCGGGTTGGTTTTTTCTCAGTTTTGTCCCCAGGACACCTACCTGCCCCCACCTGTGGAAATCTCCTGAGCAACCCCACCCCAAGATTTGCTACTTGTGGGGAGCTAGGAGATCCAGTCTCTGCTCTTTCCAGCAGGGGGATGAGAAAGATAATACTGTCACATTACCGTAAGCACCTACGATGTGCCAGGCACTTCGTGTGCCTCAGCTTGTCTAATTTTCACAACAGTTCTGTAATTATTATCCCTATTTTATAAATGGAGTCACCGAGGAAGGAAAGAGAAGTTAAGTTACTTGCCCAAGGTCACACAGCTAGTAGGTGGGAGACCGGGATTTGAACTTCTGACCTGGTGTGCTTTACCACACTGTTCCCCGTTTCCTACTGAGCTCCTTGTGTCTACAGGGGCATGGCTGGATTTTTCTTTAAAAATAAATAAATTATTTACTTATTTTTGGCTGCATTGGGTCTTCATCGCTGCGCGCGGGCTTTCTCTAGTTGCAGAGAGCAGGGGCTACTTTTCAGCGGCCATGGCTCACAGGCCTAGCCGCTCCGTGGCATGTGGGATCTTCCCGGACCAGGGCACGAACCCGTGTCCCCTGCATCGGCAGGCGGACTCCCAACCACTGCGCCACCAGGGAAGCCCAGGTCTACTCTTCATTTTGGTGCGAGGGCTTCTCATTATGGTGGCTTCTCTTGTTGTGGAACACGGGCTCTAGGTGCGCGGGCTTCAGTAGTTGTGGCTCGCAGGCTCAGCAGTTATGGCTCGCGGGCTCTAGAGCGCAGGTTCAGTAGTTGTGGCACACGGGCTTACTTATTCCGCAGCATGTAGGATCTTCCCGGACCAGGTATCGAACCTGTGTCCCCTGCATTGCAGGCGTATTCTTAACCACTGTGCCACTAGGGAAGTCCAGCATGGCTGGGTTGACTCTCACCCAGCAGAGTCAGGGAACACAGTAGCAGCAGGCCTTTCACCCTGGGTGCCTTTGGAACTTGCAGGTGCAAAGAACATGTCTCATGTCTGCCATTCACAAGACCCCTACCCCGCGTGGATTTTCATGGTGCCTTTTATATGCTAGTGGAAGTTAGGCAAAGTGAATGTTCTGGAGGCCCAGATCCCTGCTCTCACTATCCTGGGGATGAGTGTGTGTGGGCATCTCCCCAGAGCGGGGATGTTATCCCAGCATTCCTTGCCGCCTCCCAGCCCCTCCCCACCCTTGAGAGAACAGCGGGGTCAGTGAGTCTGTTAGCATCTGTCAGGGGGACCACCCTGATATGGGAATTGAGATTCCAGTGCGCTCAGGGATGAGTCCAGGTTCCCTTTGCCTCCCAGTTGCTCACGGGAACTTCTCTAGGGAATCTGAACACCTCATCTCCCCCAGAACTAAGAAAACCTTTGACACCTACCCTCTGGGCCTGGGAGTCCTGGGTCGGGGGTTTTAGGGTGTTGGGAGGGATGGCCTTTGGGCTGTAGAAAAATCATCCTCCCCTTCGCTCCATTGAAGCCCACAGAAGCTGGGTTTCATTGGGGTTTCCCCCACACATGTCCAGTTCTTGGGAGATTGGGGGCAAGTTGGGGAGTTGGGGCAAGGAGGCAGGAGGGGCAGGCTGGCGGCTCTGAGCTTCTCCATGCAGCCCTCGGGGCCGGGTGCCTGGGCAGGAGGGGGGGCAGAGCAGCTGCTGGCGATTTATTAAGCAGTCACGGAAAAATTGGTTTATAAATTAACAGCTGTTTTAACTTTAGGGCCTCTTCTTCAGGGAATGGAAGCAGCCGACTGGACCGGGATTGGAGTGTGTGTGAGGCTGGTGGAGGGGGTGGGAGGCGGCAGGCTCCGGCAGCTGGCGTTCTTCGGGGGCAGCCTCAGCTGGCACCTCGGGGGGCACCAGGCAGTGGCCAGAGCAGGGGGTCTCCAGGTGCCCGGGGCTGAGGCTGCCCCCGCCGTGGGCTGCCGGCTTGCTCATTCTTCTCAACAGCATCCCACCTGGGGGCGCCAGAGGGAACAGATACCGCTGTACTCATGTCTGCCACCAGAGGGCAGCCTCCGCACATTGATTTTTGCTTCCCACCCAGGTTGGTCCAAACTGGGCCGAGAGAGAGAGAAACCCCGTCCAATTCTGAGCAAGAGAAGCCCAGTTCTGTGTATGCAAGCGATCTTGTACTTAACTCTGAAGTCAGATGGTTTGCCTTTGAACCCAGGCTCTGGGCAGAAGTTCTGAGCCTCATTTGCCCCATCTGTAAAACGGAGTGAATCTAATGAGGATTAAATGAGACAATACATATAAAAGGCCTAGCCTTGGTGTCCAGCACAGAGTAAATGCTCCATATACGTCACGCGTTGCCAATTTCTATGACTCATGTATTTATCTATTCATTCATTCCTCAATCCATCCCCTCTACAGCATGTAGTGCTACTGTATTCTGGGCACTATGGCAGGCAGGTGATGATGCAAAGACAGATAGTGGGTAGGACATGTCTCAAAATAGTGTGCTAAGAGTTATGATACACCCAGTGAGAGGGGAGGGGAGATTGACTTGGATGGGGCAAAAGAACATTTGCGGGTGATGAGAACGTTCTATATCTGTATTGATAGTGGTCACATGTTGTATGGAAATGTTTCATAGAAATTTATATTTAAACTTGGTACATTTTATTGTATGTAAACTCTAACTCAATAGAGTTGATTTTTAAAAAAGCACCCAGTGTGAATTTACT